CCGCATGATATTCACAGGAAACTTTCTCATTATACCAACTCGGATAAGGGGGCAACAAAGGCTTGGCCAGACGTGGAGCAATCAGCTGGGCTTGGAGCAACTTGGGATATATCTGGCTATATGAAAGCTCTTTTGACCCTACTTTCTCCTTGCCGTTATTATGATCATATTGAAGACCCTGTGACTGACCACTGGAACGTTCACTTTGAAGGTTTAACGTTTGACCAACATCTTGGGAGAGACATTGATTTGCATATCTCCCTTCATCGACAAGTTTTGAGCTTCCGGGGAGCTTAGGTTTTCCATTTTCAAAGCATAACAACCCTTCCGTGATGAAGTTTTGAACTTTATATCTCAGGATCGTACAATCTTCTGTAGAGTGACTAAACTCTTGAGAATGATAACCGCATGATCTTTTGACACCTTGCCAGTCTGGACGCAAATAAGTATTATACCTCGGAGGAAAAGGCTTTAGGAGCCCACTTTCAAAAAGAAAGGGTAACAAGTCTGAATATGAGATCGGAATCGAAATCAGAGACATCCCCTTCTTCTTCTTTCTATTCTTTTTGGCCTTCTTCACTGGCATTTGAACATCCTCTATGCCTCTCTTCTTTGAGTCCGGCTCCACTTTCGTATTAGAAGTTTCACCCTTAACTTCTGCTTTTCCCAGTATGATCTCCGTAGCATCTTCTGGAATCTTACTTGATTTTTGGAGTTGACTTGAATTACCACATCCCCTAACAGGTTCTTGATCATTTGCTATCATCACATTGGCTGCAGCGCTAACCTTCAAATTCTCACCCGAAGTCTTCATCTTTTCTTGTGTAACAGGGTCATCTGATGATTTCTCCCCATATATCACTGTAATCATCATGCTCATCAACTTGGACATTTGTTCCCTAGATTCAACTTGGAACTTCTTTACTTCATCAATCATTTCTTGTTGGGTCTTTACGAGCCGTTCTTGAATTCTCTCGATCCTACTAACTCGTGCTAATATCTCATTCATTGCTCTCTATCTTTCCAGAAACACGTCTCGGGGTAACTTCAATTTGCTTTCAGAGCTTCTGCCACATCATCATTCCCGAGTTACTCTCATATTTTCATGATTGATGCATGTAAAAATGCTTAAATTAATACATGCAATGCGAAAATGCAAAATGCAAATGCAAATGCACGAGGTGTTAATCCCAAAAGTGACCACTTAAGAACAACCGTTCACTTAGACAACAAGAATTTCGTAAGTACACCATGTAGTCAAAATACAACTGCGATTTTTCATCTCTTCATTTCCTTGAGTCGTACTCTTCATGGGATCTGGTATCGCACCTCCAAAGTTGTTGGCGTATTTCATCACCTTTGATGACGTCGAATGTCTTTAAATTGAATCTTGAAATCTCCATTCTCACCTCCAATGTGAAGTGGTCTTCATGTCGTTATGAAGGGTCTTCTCGTCCTTGGTATGACTGTATCTATCCCTTGAGTCAACATCTTGGCCTTTGCAGCTTTAAAGAAATTCTTCAATCAGCTTCAGATCTCTTCGTTCATTGGATGTCCTCCTTCATGGATCGTTTGAACATCTCTGGATCTCCCGGTTTTTGACTACATAGTGGAGAATTTCTTACCTCAATATGTTCAGCCTTCTTCTTTGTCAATCACTTGTGAATTAACACCCCTTGATGACATGAGGATGCAAATGCAATAAAATCACAATAAAATAGACATAGAACAAAAACGGGTTAGTACACATAAGATAAACAACAAGATAGTGGATATCGTAAACACCACATAAAATCTACCCTCACATGCTGGCTACCCAATCATGCTTTAGTAGATCCTACCCGACATGATATCTACCCACATGTTTTGTCATTCATAAAAGATCCTAACCGCATGGTATCTAATTCACATGTTTTGTGCGAAAATATAAAACCTAACCGCATGCTTTTCTAGTTCTCATACTTATTGCAAAAATAAATTCGAGGAAAAGGTTAGAATGAGTTTCCCCTTCGTGTCTGCAGACAGAGATTCAACATAAGATGGGCAGAGTTTCAGTATTTCTAAAAGGGTCCTCGAATTGTCCTTTGCTGGTGCCCCCTTGGGCTTGCCAGACCCTCGATTCTCACCCATTATAGGCTTAAAACAAATCAAGTTCAATCCGAGAGGATACATTTCCCTATATCCATGCGAGAAAACTCAATGTTTTCTCGTAGACATAAAGCATGTACCCCAGAGTTTACTAGCTAAAGCCCGTGCGGAGAAAAATAATTTTTCTCACGTAAGCGTAGCTTTCACCCCTACTTAATAGGACAGAGCACAGTTAGAAGGCTCTAGAAAAAGTTATAGCAACAATGGGGAAACTCATAATCCTTTGCCTCGATCAAAGAAACACAACAAAGTGAAGGTCAGAAAACTGAAACATGTAGATCACACGTTAGTACAACTATTTATTTATAAACCAAATCACAAAAAATGGAAACAAGGAATTCCAAACAAACAAGGGATCAAAAACCAAATTAAAACGAACTTATAACTTTCATTTGCAAAGACAATTAATTAATCGACTATCGGCCTGACTCTCTAAAAAAAAGTCCCCAGCAGAGTCGCCAAGCTGTCGCAACGATTTTTAACCGTACGGGGGCGGGGCGAGATTTTTGAAAACCGCGTCATTTTTAATTATTATCTTTTCAATTGGATTTTAATTAAAAACAATGTGATTTTAGAAAACCTCTCGTTTCGAAAATTTGAAAATTCATTCACGATAAAATACGGGTTCGAAGAGTCGCCACCAATCTTTGATTAGGGTGTGATTGGGCACCCAAAAACGTTGTCATTTTAAATAACAATTAATTAAAACGACAAATTTACGGTCTACGTCACCAAAATCCAAGTTCGGGAGTCGGTTACGTGTGGGGAAGGATTAGCACCCCCACAACGCCCTAAATCGGTACCTAGTCGATTAATTAATGTCTTTGCGACGAATTTCACAAGTTCGAGTTTAATTTGATTAATGATCCCTTTAAACAACAAAAATGCAAATTTGTAACATTGAAAAGCAACAAAATATGATTTAATTTAAAATTACCAAGTCATTAGAAAGATAAAGAATATTCGATTATTTAAAAATATCGAGACCAGATCTTTAGGTCAGTTCTAACGACATTTTCTCAATAAATTTAAATAGCCGAACATTTCTTTTTCTTTCACTCCCAAATTTTAAAGTGGAGAATCAAAATTTTAGTGACAATGACGGGATACACTTGTAATTTAAAATCATCAATAACGACCTTCCAGTAAGTTATGAAAAGCCTTTTCGACAATTTTAAATTAAAAGGGTATTATCCTTAATCAAATTATGTAATAGGAGTCGAGTTGCATATGAGGCTAACATGCTTATAGAAAATGAATTACACCTAAATTTATGCAAATTACAACATACTCGAAATGATATACACATGCAACATAAAAATAAACTACATTTGACTCTATGCGTATGGACAAAATACTCGAAATAATATACACATGCATATATTTAAAATAAATCTGAAATTAACCTATAATTATGCATAAAATATTAGACAAGGACTAAAATGTAAAGAACATAAACAGAAGGATCTTTTCATAAAAATTCATTTCCAAGTACCGCAAATATAATATAACCAAAGTTCTACATAGGACCAAAATGAACGTTTGTCAAATTGCATATCCAATGTGAAAACAACCGAAAATAGCCCTAAACATGAAATTGGACAAAAATGAAACACTCAGAAAATTACAAGGCAAAATCAGAAAAGAGTAAAGCTCGGTTAAGGAACCAAAATGTAACAGACTGAACCTACTGGGCCTCACACGAGATTCATCCAATATCCTAAAACATGGGATATTCCCCTAGCCATAAAACGCTGTCGTTTTGGAACAGCTCGACACTACGTCGTTTTAACGCGCAGATATATCGGATATTAGGGTAGGTTTCTAAACCCTAAAATCATTCTCTCTTTCTCTAAAAAGATGAAGACTCTCGCCCAGCCGCTTTGCTCTTCCTCTCTCCTTTCTCTTCCACAGCAGATCGAGACCACCATCTCCGCTCGCAACCCTCGATAAAGCCCAAAGCCTGTGGCCACCATGGCCACCACCGTGGGGCTCCGATGGGGAGCCCAGACATCACATAAACCCCCCCCCGACGGTAACCCCGGTAGTTACCAACCTGAATCTAAGGCCAAAACCCCTCGAAACCCAGATTTCCCTTCTCCTAAGACTCCAACAAGATACTCAAAGGACCCAAGGGCAACCCCGACTGAATCTTAACTCAAACCCAACAAAAACCTACAACCCATTGCTCAAAACCGACATGCACGACTTAGAAAACAAAGAAAGACGAAGGGTCTACCTTCTTCTCGGTTCCTAGCAAGGGCGACGGAAGCTTTCTGGATTAATGAGGTGGGTTTTTGTTTTTCCTTCTTTTTTCGTTTGATGGTGGATTTTGGGTTCTTGTTGATTTTTTGGTTACTGGAAGTTTTCTTTTTGGTTCTGTACCTTTTTTTTTCCTTCGATGATGGCTGATGGGTTGAGCGTTTTTTCTTGGACGATTTTCCCTTTTGTTGTTGATGGTTGGACCCTGTTTTTCTTGTTGTTGTTGATGGCTGGTAGTTCTCTTCCCCTGCTCTAATGTTCTTTGCTTGTTCTCCAATTGATCACTGACCCCTTCTGCTCGAAATGGTTACCCCTGTTCCGAATGGTCTCCCTCTCTGGTGGTGATCACTTTTATTGCCGAGAGCCCTTCCTCTGCTGTTTTTTTACTTTGCTTTTCACTCTAAAATCCTATGAGGAATCCCCTCCTTCTGTTCTCTCCAAAAGCCGAACCTCTCCCTGTTGGTTTTTTTGGTTCTGTTCTTGATGGCTCCTCGTCGATGGATCTCTCCCCCTCGTTGATTAAAGCCCTTTGTTGTTAATTGTTCCCCGTGATCTCTTCTGCTAATTATTTTTTTGTTGTCTTTCTTCATTTGTGCATGGTCTGGGCATGAGATGGACTGGGCAGTGGAGTAGGAGCAGCAGGGCACGGGTGATGGGGAACCGAGCTGCTCGGTCAGAGTGCTGGCAGGGTGATGTCTATGCAAGCAGGCTTCACGTGGGATGTTGCTCGGTCACAGCTGGGAGCTGAGCCTTGTCTGCTCGGTTGTAGTGCTGGTAGGACGTGGGCATCACGTGATGTTTCAACCGGGTCCTATTTTGGGTTTGATGAGTTTCAGGTTTGGGTCTGATGACCCATTGTAATTGGGTCCGATTTGGGCCTCATTTGTAATTTGGGTTTAGGTTTATAAGATGTACAAGGACTCTAAACATTTAATTTGGATTTGGGATTGAATTTGGGGCTTCAATTTATATCTTGAATTCCAAAACGAAGCAAATATGATCACAACCCAATTAAGCACCTAAAATTCCCGAATGCAAGCTTCCTCGCTTCATCATTTGAATTAATTCTTCATCGAGCACCTTCATATTAATTTGATCATCTTCAAATGGATTCAAATGGCCCGGACGAAATTGGGGTATTACAACACCATTAAGGTGGATGAACCCAAAGATCCTAATACTCACACCATATGGTACAAATCACGGAAAGTGAATTAACTCGAAAGTCTTAATACTTACGCCATACATGATAGATCATGTAAGGTAGACAAACTCGAAGGTTCCAATACTCACACCATATGGAACAAATCACATTACATGGATAAACTCGAAGGTCATAATACTTACACGATACAAAACAAATTGCTTAAGATAAATTAATCTAAAAGTCCCAATACTCACATCATTAAGGTAGACGAACTCGAAGGTCTCAATACTTATACCATAGAGAACAAATCACATCATATGGATAAATCTGAATTTCCCAATACATACACCATTAAGGTGGACGAATTCGAAGGTTCCAATACTCACACCATATAAAATAAATCATGTAGCATGGACGAACCTGAATGTCCCACTACTTATACCATTAAGGTGGACGAACTCGAAGGTTTGAATACTCACACCATATGGAACAAAACCTGAAGGTCCCACTACTCATACCATTTAAGTGGACGAACCTGAATGTCCTAATACTCACACTATACAAAACATATCACGTGATATGGATGAACCTAAAGGTCCCAACACTCACACCATACAAACAAACCATGTAAAGGTTTCAATGCATCGAAGTGTTGAACTTGGATAATTATAGGGTACAACTATGGCCCCATTTGCACAACATAACATGATTCTTGCAACATTTCAATAATATGGAATATTATACCTTGACTCATGGATAGAACATACAACACACGATCTTATCACAAGTCTCATTTTCATCTTAATTTAAGGCAAATATCATAAATGTACTTATAGATTTCATATAATGCATAATTACACCAATGATATTATGAATATTTTTACAGATTTCACATAATTACACTACTGTAGATATGAACATTTCTACATATTTACATACACATACTTATACGGATGTAAATATGAACATTTCACATATTACAAAGACACATACTTACACTGATGTAAATATTAATATTTCACATACATATATTTATACTGGTGTAACTATGAAAACTTCACGTCTCATTTAATACATACTTTAGCTTCATTTACCTCTCCAAAATATTTATAAATAAACATAAATCCATGAATCATGTCATATAAAATTAAGTTTTAACTTCATAATTCAAAATCATGAAAACATACACAAATCAAGTGACTTCAGTAGTTAAAGGCATAGTTGTTATCTCAAAAGTTTTCAAATTCGAGCATGACGCATGTAGGGATGTTTGAGCGTTTATTATCAAATAGTTAAGAGTCTTTTAAACATATATTGTTTTATAATCACCCCATGGTGATAAACTTATTTTGTTTTCTTCAAAAAAATTCTTAAATTCTTTCTCAAACTTATTTTGTTTCAGGCTCGAGCATGACGTTTGTATGAATGTTTTGCTTTCACGATGATTAAATCGGTAAACTATAATCATCAAGCTCGTATGATCATTTTCCTCTCTAATAACCTTTCTTGAATTCTGTCTCAAATTCTATATTTTTCTTTATTTTCCTTTTCTACAATTTCTTTCTTTTTCTATTTCCTTTCTCTCTTATGTGTCCATTGAAGGAGTTTTCTTCTTCTTTAACTCTCCCCCCCTTTTGAACCTTGTTTCTCTTTCTTTTTTATTTTATTTTAAAAAATTATTTTTTTATCCCTTTACTTTTCACGTCATCATTTTCTTATCCATTAACTAATGAAATTTCTAACTATTAATTACATTTAAACTAAATTTCAATTTTTAAAGATTTTTTAGTTTAATCTCTAAATTTTTCCAAATTTATAATTTGACTCCTATGAATCTAAAACTTGTAAAATAATACCTAACAATCATATAAGCACTAACTTCTAGAAAAATCTCCTTCCTGAAAAGTTTTGGAAAATTACCATTTCCCCCCTCATACTTATTTTCTTTACAATTTAGTCTTTAACTTTGATTTCAATACTTTTATCACTAGAGTAACATTTCAAAATATACCTGGTAAATATTATTATCTTTATCTACCAAAGATTCGAATCTAATGTATTAAAATACAATTTTAATATTAGAATCGAATATTAAAAATTTTATTAATTCATGTCACGTATCAATAAAAAAAAAGTTAGCGTCATCAAACTTTCGAAATGTATTTGGATTAAATTACTCATTTCTACAAGGATCAATTTGTTCAGTTTATAAATTGGTATGGACCCCAAGAGAATTTAAATCCAATATATCAATTAAATTAATTATAAATTTAACATATTCAACTAAGATCTTTATTTTTCTAAATGTATAAGGACTAGAAATTTCCTTTAAATAATAGAGAGAATAAAATAAATTTTTGATAAATATAATAACCGTTAATAACTTTTTTACCAAAACCCGAGATATAATTTATTATCAAGAATAAAGATTAAAACAATTACCATATATAAATCCTCTATTAATTTAGGATATGAAATCTATAAATAATTTAGGTTTACCATTGAATGCCCTAAACAAAAACTATAGCTGGTAGTTAAAAGTTGTAATCAATAATTGTTCAAAAAGAAGTTGTAACCGATGATCAATTATGTCATGGTGATGACCTAGTTCTTTAGGGTAAAGCTATTGTTTGTTGATATCAAGATCTGAAATATGTGTGATTTATATTTTAAAATAGAATTTTTATAGGTTAAAGTATTATTTTCTTAAAAAAATATAATTCTAATAAATGTATATATTTAGATTTGAAGTAAAATCAATAAATATAATGTGCAACTAAAATTATAATTACTATCAATATGTTCATGTAACTATGACTAGAATCAATCATTATGACGCACAATCAATGAATTGATAAACAACATTTATTAGGACCTACACCAAAATAAATTTAGGCAATGTGCACACATAACATGATTTACATTAGAATATATTTTGAACCCACAATTTACACTCACACAAGATATTCATATTTTTGAGTATCCAAAATATTTGATATTCGAGAGTTTTGGGTATTAAAACATTAGTTCGTGTTCTGGCCCGTTAAGTCTGGGTACCTAGAAGTTGGATACTCATATTTTCAGATCATGGAAACTCGGTTCATATTTTTTAATTTAGTTTTTGAATTAAATTATTTTTAAAAAATCATGAAAAATATAAAATTTTAAAAATCTATAATACAAAATCTCATAATAAAATTTAAAAACTCAAATTATATAATTAGAAGATAAAATTTATTAAAAATTAAAATAAATAAATACAATTAAATTTAAAATATTTTGAAGTTAAAATAAATATTTTAAAAAATAATTTAGAACGTTGAAGTAAAATAATTTAAGAAATTAAAAATTTAGAATGTTATGGAGTTATGGTGAAATATTTTAAGAAATTTGGAATTTAAAATGTTATAGTGAAATATTTTGAGAATTAAGAATAAAAAATATAATATAAAATAAAAACAAAAATATATAAGAAATCGAGTATCGGATCAGTGGGTACCCAATTAAGCATTATTTCATGACTCGGGCCTGACTCGAAAACTCGTCAAAAATAGTGGGTCGGGTCGTGTATTTTCAGTATAAATACCCGGTAATTTTAGAGCAGGTCGGTGGGTCAACGGTCAGGCTATTCGGGTTGGGTATTTTTAAACACTCTTAATTACAAATATTATTTGTTCTAAAGATTCTCAACTATTTGACGGTGAAAGTTCAAACGTCTTTATAATCTCTAATACTTAAACTTAGGACCTCATAATAAACATCCTTCTAACCATGTAACTTGGTTCGTGCATTTATTAATTTTAACCTAATTGAAGAAACACTATCGTTAGTTTAAAAGCTATGGATAAAATGTCTAAATTATATTATTTTTCATTTAAGTGTCTATTTTTTTCAATCAATTCAAGTACCTAACGTTATAAACGTTACCATTTCAAGTGCCCTTACCGTAATAATACATTAAAAAATTTTGTTAGGTGAAACGTGTCACATTCTGGTAATTTTGAAATTTTCTTTTAAAATAAAAACTTACAATTATATTTTTATTAAAAACCCCACAATTTTCTCAAATCTTAAAAAACTCCAAAACTTTGAAAACCTTAATTTCAACCCCTATACTCACGCCGACCATCATTTTTGTTGTCGATCGAACCTACCCCGATCACACATCCACCCAATAAATAACCACCGACGAACCCTAATCGTGATTTAAATCCGACGAGCGACAAAGGAAAATTATGTCATTTGTGCGACCCTACGAAACCCGACGACACGAGAGACAACAAAAGTGACGACGATCAAAAAGGGAGATGACAATGTTGTGGCCGATAAAGGAGATGATATTGGTAGGGTTAGAAAATTTAATGATTTGCAGCTCTTTTTTTAATTTTAGTAAATTTTTAGGTTTTTAAATATAATAATATTTTAATTTTTTTTAAATAAAGTTTAAAAATTTACCAGAATGTGACATATGTCACTTAACATAATTTTAACATCATTATGGAAGAGGCCCTCAAAATGGTAATGTTTGTAATATTAGACACTTAAATTGACTGGAAAAAAAATTAAGCACGTAAATGAAAAAAATGGTATAATTTGATCGCTTATTTTATATTAAGTTGATAAAATATTATAAATACATATTATTATAATAACATATCCAAAAATAATTGTTAACAATCTTTAGAGCAATGGATTAAAATACTCCAAAAAATAATTTTAAAGATAAATACAAATAAAATTTTAGAATGGATATAACTGGTAAAATAAATAATTAGTGGAATAAAATTTAAATTTCGAAATATACATCTATTACTGTTATGATTTGTTTGAATCCAATGGAAGAGTTAAAATTTGCATGTAAATGCGGTTGTAAAGTTGGAATATCAACTATGCTTTTGGTGAAGGACAGTTGATCTGGAACGTGCTTAAGGGTTCTAATTTTTTATGGAGCATTGCTTTAAAAAAGCAAGGGCTTTTCGTTTTATTGAAAAATGGGAAGGTTCACGTAGGAACGAGTGTATTTTATATTAAATAATGAATTCTCTAATATTTAAAAAAAATTATAATATTTTAAAAAATAAAAAATATTTAAAATATAAAAAATTAATTTTTTTCAGGAACAACCGGTTCTGTCCATCCCTAGAACCATCCTCCCTAAGGACATGTATAATTGACTTTGGGAAAAGGATGGGGTATGTATGGGACAATGGGAGCTTAATGACAATGGTTATGTATCTTCAATGGCTATTCAGTTTTGACAGGTGACAAAAGCAAGCCTTGTCCCAACTTTCTCCATGTTGTCTTTATGTCCTTTTTTATATCTAAAAGAAATCGGCACCCCTCTCTTACATCAAAACCTATCTTGTATCTCTCAAATAATTCAACAGGAGAAAGATTTTAGGGTAAACTACACAAATGATTATTAAAGGTTGAGTAAAAAAAATTTCATTAAAGTTTCAAAAGTTACAAATTTATTATCAACTTGTTATAAAGTGGTCATTCTACAATCATTCTCTTTAAATTGATAGCGTGACAATGTTAATGTTTATCTTTATATCTAAATTACTATTAAAACGTCAAATATATCCTTAAATAATGATTTATATCTAATTTATCTCAAAATCTTTTTAATTTATATATTTTTTAAAAATTACTCACCACCACCATCGTATTCCTCCCCTCCCCGCCTCTCTCACCTCATCAGCTCCCATCTATTACATTAGAGACTTTGTTGTTACGACCTAATCAAACTACAATCACTGATGTTGCACAATCACTGATGTTGCACAATCACTGATGCATAATAACCCGACTGCTGGTGTCCCCATTTCATGCTCGAATGTAAAAACTAGCAAGCATGATGATCACTGTCGGAGCCAGTATCAGCTGAGGGATGTCAATTGGCACCCCAAAAGTTCATAATTTTTCCCATATAAATATATATATATATATATATATATAATATAAAAGAAAAAAATGACATCCTTTTAAAAAAAAAAATAACCTCAGTGACCGAAAATGCCTTATAATATACGATTTTAACTATTTTTTTTTGGATTTGCCAAAATGACCAACAAAATCGCAACGCGAACTCTAATTTTTCAACTCAGTTTTCAAATTCGCAACGCGAATATCCAGATTCGCAACGTGATTTTGAAAAATGTGTTGTGATAGTTAAAATGTGTTGCGATAGTTAAAATGTGTTGCGAGAGTTTGAAAAACGTGTTGTTGCGATAGTGAAAAAATGTTGCGATAGTGAAAAATCCAAAATAATTTTATATTTTAACTATTCCAAATTCACGTGGAGTTTGAAACAATAAAGAATGTGTTGCGATAGTGTAAAAGATTCCCAACCCATTTGTAAGATTTTAGTTTGAAACAATAAAGAATGTGTTGTGATAGTGTAAAAGATTCTCAAGTGTTTGCAATGCTCAATCCCACATAGTATTGCAAACACTATTGGGAATGAGTATTTAAGGCTTGGATTTCCCACTTCCTTGTTAGGTGGAAGAGAACAAGGGGAACTCTCGCGCGCCGCCGCCGCCGTCCAGTCCCGTCCCGTCTCGTCTCGTGTCGGGTCGTGGTCGTGGTTTTGACTATCGCAACGCGATCTCCAGTATCGCAAATCAGTTTCTAGATTCGCAACGCGATTTTGACTATCGCATTGCGATTTTCCAAATTCGCGTTGCGATTTTAGAAAATCGTAATGCGAATATGTAAATCGCAACACGATTCTGACTATCACAACGCGATCTCCAGTATCGTAAATCAGTTTCCAGATTCGCAACGTGGTTTTGACTATCGCATTGCGATTTTCCAAATTCGCGTTGCGATTTTGACTATCGCAACGCGATAATACAGAATCGCGTTGTTGCGATTTTAGAAAATCGCAATGCGAATATGTAAATCGCAACGCGATTCTGACTATCGCAACGCGATCTCCAGTATCGCAAATAAGTTTCCAGATTCGCAACGCGATTTTGACTATCGCATTGCGATTTTCCAAATTCACGTTGCGATTTACATATTCGCATTGCGATTTTCTAAAATCGCAACAACGTGATTCTGTATTATCGCGTTGCGATAGTCAGAATCGCAACGCGAATTTGGAAAATTGCAATGCGATAGTCAAAATCGCGTTGCGAATCTGGAAACTTATTTGCGATACTGGAGATCGCGTTGCGATTTACATATTCGCATTGTGATTTTCTAAAATCGCAACAACGCGATTCTGTATTATCGCGTTGCGATAGTCAGAATCACAACGCGAATTTGGAAAATCGCAATGCGATAGTCAAAATCGCGTTGCAAATCTGGAAACTGATTTGCGATACTGAATATCGCGTTGCGATTTACATATTCGCATTGCGATTTTCTAAAATCGCAACGCGAATTTGGAAAATCGCAATGCGATAGTAAAAATCGCGTTGACTGATTTACGATACTGGAGATCGCGTTGCGATTTAGAGATCGCATTGCGATTTTGTTGGTCATCTTGGCAAATCAAAAAAAGTTGGTCAAAATCGTATATTATAAGGCATTTTCGGTCACTGAGGTTATTTTCTCTAAAAAAAATTGACACTCTTTAAGAAAATATTTACCCCGCATTTAAAAAAAATAGTAGTTAAAATTTTAAAACTCAAATTTACCGCTTATAAAATTCTTCACATAATTTCTAAATGGGTAAACTACATGGTTAATCACTTTCGTTTAAGTTTTGTACATTTTTCCTCGTTGAATTAAAAAAACATAATATATAGTCTCTTTTATTTTTATTTCATTAATATTTTATCACTTTCGTTTTTATTTAATTTTGATGTGATCATTAAGGGTTAATTATCATTAAACCTCTAACAGATTGCTGATGTGACAATGGATTTATAAAACTAAAAAGGGTAAACTTCAAAAATAGTTAATAATGTTCGAGTAAGTCTCATTTTTCACTTAAGTTTCAAAAGTAAAAAATTGGTCCATAAAATATCAAATAGGTCATTGAACAATGATTTTATATCTAATTTGTTCCAAAAACTTTCTAATTTTTTGTTTATAATTCGAAATATTCGATTGCTTCATGTTCAAAAAAAATTAATTTCTAAGCTTTATTTTTAAAATTTAAAAAGTATATATATAAATATTGGGAAAATAGAAAACTTTTGGGGTAAACTAAATATAAAATCATTTTTCAATGACCTATTTGATGTTTTACTAACCAATTTGTTACTTTTGAAATTTTAGTGGAAAAACATAAACTTACTCAAACATTAGTGACTATTTGTGTAGTTTACCTTTTTATTTTTATAATTTTATTATGTCGCCTTAGCAATTCGTTAAAGGTCTAACAACAATCAATTCTCAATGATCACATATGATTTAAATAAAAAATAAAAGTGATCAAATATTTTTAAATTTAACGAGGAAAAATGTATAAAAATTAAACGAAAGTAGTTAATCTTGTAATTTAGCCTTTCTTAATTTGACACATCAAATTAAATTTTCTACCTTCTCCATGATCCCCAATTTCAGCTATTTGCTTCCATGCAAAAGTGGACAGTTACCAAAGCCCATCACCATGCAAAACTGAGCTTCAGTTTCCGTATATCTCTGCCTGTTAAGGATTTGACAAGGATTAAATGAATGAATGGTTGAAATAAGTAATTCACTAGTAGGATTTCAAGATTTTCAGGAGAAAAACTCACCATCAATCATCACTTACCCAGCTGTTGGATCTTAGAATCGAAGTATAAGAGCAAGAACCGACATTTACCAGATCCGCTTTGCCCCACCAGTGCCATACTCTTGCCTGAACGCACCATTAGATTAAAGTCGTTGAAAATGACTACGTCTGGCCTTGATGGATAAATAACTGGACACCCCTTAGATCGATTGTACCTTGCACATTTGTTAGTTCTTCACCAGCATCCCCAGTGACCTGCGTCTTCCTGTCCATGATCTCAAAACACTGATGCTACCATTTGGTTCCCTTTTAGAATATCAGGAACCAATGCCAAAGTTTCTCCCATGACAAATGCAGTTATAATCAAAATCATAAATGATTTCATCACAGATTTAAAGCTAGCTAGCTCCTTCCCCATTAACACAGACCCATACCTGCACAAATTAACCGCAATGTATTAGTTATTGCAGTGCTCATTGCTCATTAATTAACTATTATGAAGCTCAACCATCATACCATAAGGCAAGGCCATAAGATGAGAAGATGAAGAACTGGGAAATGTCATAGAATATCCAGGCAATTTGACCACGTTTAAACGAACGCTTTGAAGGCTCTACCAGCTCATGGGGGCAAAGATCAATGATCTTTTCCTCAGCAGAAAATACAGCAACAGTTCGAATATTGCTGACAGCCTCACCGGCAAGCATGTTTGCTTTTAGATATGCTTTGCTCAAGTTACTTCCATAGCCTTGCAAGAATAGGCTCTGAATGATGGGAAGAATATCACTAGATTCCTATCTAT